GCCGCTGGCCGGCGTCGGCCCACCCGCCGGGTCCGGAGTCACAGCGCGGGGGCTGCGCGGGGCCCGAAGGGACCGAGCTCGGGCGGAGCGAAACAAGCACAGAAGTGACGCTGTGCCATGTGCTAAACCAGTGATCAGAGCTTGCTTCACGAGCGCTTGCGTTCGCTTCCCTTTGCGGCGTGCCCGTCTCTTTCCGCAGCGAATAGCGCTTTCCTCCCCGGTTTTTACCGGAAAGCCTGCCTCTCCCCCACTCTTTCTCTGCTTCTTCTATCCCGCCTTCACTGACGTGAGAACTGCCGCTCTTCTCATTTGTAGCCCATTCTGAGATTACAGTTTTCCCCCTGCTAGTTCTGGGGATGGAGCCCAGGGACCTCGCGCTGAGCCTCCTTCCCAGCGCTTTAATTCTAACTTGATTTTGACAGAGTCTTGCTAAACTGCTGAGTTGCCGAAGCTGGGCTGAAAGTTACGATTCTCCCTCTCAGCGCCCAGCGTGCTGGGCTGACGGGCGTGTCCGCCCACGGGCCGGTGTCACAGTTGGCTTGTCTAACAATGCTAATAGTGCTCTCTGGCGCCTCAAATCAGATTCTTACGCCTGGTCCATTTGATCGAGACACATCATCGCTGACCTCAGAGTGTATTTCCAACCTTTTTCAAAATCTTCGTGCACTTTTCTCCCAAGAGAAGCTCTTCGCCGTGAACCACAAAACCTCCTACTCTGTTTTCATCCTCCAAGGGTTGCCCTGGGGACCCAGTCTTCTCCAGGAAATCCTCCAGGATGGGCGATCGGCCGCCCTCCCAGCCCCGCCCCCCTTCTCCGGGTGGGGTGTGCCCCTGAGAGCCCAGGGTGGGTTTCTGAGTGCCCCACCTGTCCCCATTTCTCACCTATGTCCCCTTTCTCTCTTCCACCAAGAGCCCAGCATCCCCTCACCAGCCTCACCACTTGATTAGAGGATGTTTATGTGTGCGGTGCGTTATCTATAGGTGAGATTGTGTAAGATTTTAATTATAAGGGGCTGGGGATTTAGCTCAGCGGCAAAAGCGCCTGCCTGGCAAGCGCAAGGTCGTGAGTTTGGTTCCTGGTACCGGAGAAAAACCAAAACCAAAAAAAAAAAAAAGATTTTAATTATATTCATGGCTTCTAGTCTGTAGGTTATCACAGTAAGTACAAGTGACTTGGGGACCTAGCTGGGTGTTCCCTGAAAAGAAGACAAATTTGTGTGGACATTGGCACATATATTGAATATCCAATATATGGACGGGGTCTGCTTAGAATGGACAGGGCAAGGAACACATGTGATTTGTTCTCTGACAGCTTCGCCCACGGGTAGTCACGGCTAGCCACAGCCACCAGACGCCCAGAGACAGCTATGGAGAGTTTTATCTTTTCTAGAGGAGTCAAATAAATTGGCAGGCTTCAACTCTGAATTAATGGTATACAAACTGAGAGGCTGTGCAATTTTCCACACTTCATATGTGAGTTATAAATTCAATCTTCAGGTTGTCCCCCTCATTTGTAGACAGGATAAGTATTTACTACTAAACAGTGACTATTTACACCTCTCAGCACCAGTCACTCAAATGGACTCAGAGTGCCAGTAAATTCTGGGTGATTTGTGATTGAACTCTGGGTGATTTGGGACCCCCCGTTTGTCTCTTGGACAGGGGAATTCTTTTTAATGGGGTACACAGATCACCGCAACAAGGTAGGGAAAAATATTTAAAATGTAGAAATTGATGCAAATAACTCACAGGTAATTTAATTGCTTTCCTTTGCCATCGCTGGATAAGAGCCAAGGAGATTCCAGATGTGGAACCTGAGCGAGCAAAAGCACAAGATGGGGAGAGTTTTTACTGTGTCTTCCTACAGAAACCCAGAGGTCCCCCACTTTAAAACCTGTGGGCTTCGTCTTTAATAATGATTGACAGGATTCGTGGAGTATTTTGAGTGGTGGATTGATTTTTAGGTTAAAATCCGAGTATTATTTCACAGTACATGTAAGATTATGTATTCAGACTAGAATAACAAAGTTATAACCTGAGTGTATTTTCACAAAAGTAAACAGTCAGAAAAGCTTTCATTAAAATACTTCTCCAACAAGGAGGAAAGTGGAGTCACGCTGGAATGGTTAAGTGACTCTCCTGACAGGCATATAGTACTTCCCACTTCTTAGACCTAGTATAGCCTTTTGATTATGTTGCCTGCTTGTAGGGAACTTTGAGCTTGTTTTTGCTTTGGCAATGATCAAGTCGCCATCACTGTGGAGTAGGATAGAACTCTGGAGCCCTCTACCGGTGGTTTTTCAAAGTGCAGGTAACCACTAATTCACGGTGCATGGATCGATCACCACAACAGGGGCGGGAGGGGAACTAAGGTGTGTAGGGAATACAGTAAGGGTAAATACTGTTTGGTGAAAGTGTTTCACTAGTGCTGTTTTGTTTTGAACAACTTCCATCAGGGCCCCAGATTGGAAAAAAATTGTGATCTTACTCATCTCCCCCTTCCTCCACATTCAGGAGTATGATGTTAACTAGTTTCAAAAATATTTTTTGTTGTTGCTTTTATTTGTAATGAGTCACTATCTTAAGGCCCAATTAATATAGATGGAAACTTTGAGTTTATATTTAAGGAAAACCCAGAGATTACTGCTGTTCTATGGCCAAATTTGGCCACATGGTGGTGCATGCCTGTAATCCAGTATTTTGGGAGGCTGAAGCAGGAGGACTGCAAGTTTAAGCGCAGCCTGGGCAATTTAGGGACTTAGCAAGACCCTGTCTTAAAGTAAAAAGTTTATAAAAAGGTATGGGGATATAGCTCAGTGCAAAGGCTCCAGTACTGACAAAACCTCCAGTACTGACCCCCAAAAAGCTCACTTCTACTTCTCAGAAACCCTTCAGTGTCCTTAGTGTAATGAAATCTATCCTTTACAATAAAAAACATTCTTCTTGCATAGTGAGAATAGTCGTTTAAATACTCTACATAATAAATGCCTAAGTCGTACTTTATTTTATGAATTTTTTATGACACGGATTTTATAAATCCTGCATCTGTATTAATGACATTTTAAAACCAAAGCAATATCTGTGCATCTAAACCACGGTACAAACCCTTGTAGGCATCTATGAGTCCTGCAGTACCTCCTGTAAAGTTCTGGAACCTTCTAGTCAACTGGTTACTGTGTGAATACATTTACACAAAAATTTAAAAGACCTTTAATTGAGTAAGTGGTAGCTTTATGGTGGTGACAGCTTGAGAGGACATAACCTTATCTCTGTACAAGACTGTACTCCTTACAAAACAAAGAGGGAAAGAAGGGAAGGGAGAAAGGAGAACTGATACGCTGCGAAGGGGCTGCTGAGAAATGAGGAGGGCTCCATTTTCTTAGAGAAAGTCTAATTATGAATAGACTGACCATAAAGACTGTTTCCATGCAGTCTCAGACAGAAATGAGGAGCATATTATTGAAAACTAAAATAGAGGTGATTGTTACACAGCGGCAAAGTTGTGGACTGTGCATTTTAGTGTTCTGTGGAAGCTAGAACGTGGGAAGCATTAAATGAGATATTTGGCTAAAAAATATCTCTGAGCAAGGTATACAGGGAGTAGACTGGCTTCACGGACTGCTTATAGTCAAATGCTAGAGGAAAGAAATGACTGGACAGGCAGAATTGTTCAAAAGGAAGAAGAATCTAAAGATTTGGAGAATTCTCTATCTGTCTCACAAAAGACGAGAACAGTACACTTTAGAAGTTATTTGGAGCTGGGTGTGGTGGTGCACACCTGTAATCCCAGCTCTTGGGAAGCTGAGGCAGGAGGATCAACACTAGTCCAAGGCAGCCTAGGCTATATAGTGAGTTCAAGGTCTCACTGAACTAATAGTGAGACCCTTTCCAAAAAAAACAAAGAA